ACGAATCCTACTTGATCATGGTGGATAAGCTTTTTGATATTCTGTTGCAACCAGCTTGCCAGTATTTTATTGAAGATTTTTGCATCTATATTCATCATGGATATTGGCCTGAAGTTTTCTTTTCTTTTTGAGTCTTTGCCAGGTTTTGGTATCAGGATGATGTTGGTCTCATATAATGATTTGGGAAGGATTCCCTCTTTTTGGATTATTTGGAATAGTTTCAGAAGGAATGGTACCAGCTCTTCTTTGTATGTCTGGTAGAATTCAGCTGTGAACCCATCTGGACCTGGGCTATTTTGGGGTGGTAGGCTCTTTATTGCTGCCTCAACGTCAGACCTTGTTTTTGGTCTATTTAGGGTTTCAACTTCTTCCTGGTTTAGGCATAGGAGGATGCAAATGTCCAGGAATTTATCCATTTCTTCCAGGTTTACTAGTTTGTGTGCATAGAGTTGTTTGTAATAATCTCTGATCATGGTTTGAATTTCTGTGGAATCTGTGGTGATATCACCTTTATCGTTTTTTATTGCATCTTTTCTTTTTATTAATCTGGCTAGTGGTCTGTCTATTTTGTTGACCTTTTCAAAAAACCAGCTCCTGGCTTTATTGATTTTTTGAAGAGTTTTTTGTGTCTCTGTCTCCTTCAGTTCTGCTCTGATCTTAGTTATTTCTTGTCTTCTGATAGGCTTTGCGTTTGTTTTTTTTTTTTGTTTTTTTTTTTTGTTTGTTTTGTTTTTGTTTTGTTTTGTTTTGTTTTGTTTTATCTTGCTTCTCTAGCTCTTTCCATTTTGATGATATGGTGTCAATTTTAGATCTCTCCTTTCTTCTCATGTGGGCACTCATTGCTATATATTTTCCTCTAGAGACTGCTTTAAATGTGTCCCAGAGATTCTGGTATGTTGTGTCTTCATTCTTATTGGTTTCGAAGAACATCTTTATTTCTCCCTTCATTTCATTGTTTATCCAGTCCACATTCAAGAGCAAGTTGTTCAGCTTCCATGAAGCTGTGCGGTCCTGAGTTAGTTTCTGCATTTTGAGTTCTAACTCGATTGCACTGTGGTCTGAGAGACTGTTTGTTATGATTTCCATTCTTTTGCATTTGCTGAGGAGTGATTTATTGCCAATTAGGTGGTCAATTTTAGAGTAGGTGTGATGTGGTGCTGAGAAGAATGTATAGTCTGTGGATTTGGGGTGGAGAGTTCTGTAAATGTTTATTAGGTTTGCTTGTTTCAGGTCTGAGTTCAGGTCCTGGGTATCCTTGTTAATTTTCTCTCTGGTTGTTCTGTCTAATATTGACAATGGGGTGTTAAAATCTCCCACTATTTTTGTGTAGGAGTCTAAGTCTCTTTGTAAGTCATTAAGAATTTGCCTTATGTATCTGGGTGCTCCTGTATTGGGTGCACATATATTTAGAATCATTACCTCTTCTTATTGCAGTGATCCTTTTACCATTATGTAATGTCCTTCTTTGTCTCTTTTTATATTTGTTGATTTAAAGTCTATTTTATCAGATAGGAGAATTACAACTCCTGCTTTTTTTTGCTGTCTATATGCTTGGTAAATCTTCCTCCATTCCTTTATTTTGAGCCTTTGTGTATCCTTGCATGTGAGATGGGTTTACTGGATACAGCACACTGATGGGTTTTGGCTTTTTATCCAATTTGCCAGTCTGTGTCTTTTGATTGGGGCATTTAGTCCATTGACATTTAGGGATAGTGTTGTTATGTGTGAATTTGATACTGTCATTTTGATGCTAGCTGGCTGTTTTGTTCATTAGTTGGTGCAGATTCTTGATTGTGTTGATGCTCTTTACCATTTGGTATGTTTTTGGAGTGGCTGGTACTGGTTGTTCCTTTATATGTGTAGAGCCTCTTTCAGGAGCTCTTGTAGAGCAGGTCTGGTGGTGATGAAATCTCTGAGTACTTGCTTGTTTGGAAAGGATTTTATTTTTCCTTCACTTATGAAGCTTAGTTTGGCTGGATAGGGGATTCTGGGTTGAAAGTTCTTTTCTTTAAGGATGTTGAATATTGGCCCCCAATCTCTTCTGGCTTGTAGGGTTTCTGCAGAGAGATCTGCTGTGAGTCTAATGGGCTTCCCTTTGTGGGTAACCCGACCTTTCTCTCTGGCTGCCCTTAGCATTTTCTCTTTCATTTCAACCCTGGTGAATCTGACGATTATGTGCCTTGGGGTTGCTCTTCTTGAGGAATATCTTTGTGGTGGTCTCTGTATTACCTGGACTTGAATATTGGCCTGCCTTGCTAGGTTGGGGTAGTTTTCCTGGATAATATCCTGAAGAGTATTTTCCAGCTTGGATTCATTCTTTCTGTCACATTCAGGTACACCTATCAAACGTAGATTAGGTCTTTTCACATAGTGCCACATTTCTTGAAGATTTTGTTCATTCCTTTTTGCCCTTTTTTCTCTGTTCTTGCCTTCTCCTTTTATTTCATTGAGTTCGTCTTTGACCTCTGATATCCTTTATTCTGCTTGGTCAATTCAGCTGTTGAAACTTGTGCATGCTTCTAGAAGTTCTCGTGTTGTGTTTTTCAGCTCCATCAATTCACTTATATTCTTCTCTATGTTGTCCATTCTCGTTAGCATTTCGTCAAATGCTTTTTCAACGTTCTTAGTTTCTTTGCATTGGGTTAGAACATGTTCTTTTAGCTCACTCTAGTTTCTTATTACCCACCTTCTGACGTCTGATTCTGTCATTTCATCACACTCCTTGTACATCCGGTCTTGTTCCTTTGCTGGTGAGGAGTTGTGATTCCTTTTAGGAGGAGACATGTTCTGGTTTTGGGAGTTTTCATTCCTTTTGCACTGGTTTCTTCCCATCTTTGTGGGTTTATCCACCTGTTGTCTTTGTAGTTACTGTCTTTCAGATTGGGTCTCTGAGTGAGCTTCCAGTTTGTGGATGCTGAATTTACTTCTTTTTCTTAGCTTTCCTTCTAACAGTCTGGCCCCTCTGCTGTAGGACTGCTGAGGTCCACTCCAGGCCCTGCTTGCCTGGGGATCAGCTGCAGTAGCTGCAGAACAGTAAGGGTTGCTACCAGTTTCCTCTTCTGCTCTTTGTCCCAAAAGAATGCCTGCCAACTATCAATCTGTTCTCTCCTTTATGAGGTGACTCTTTGGATCTATGTGGTCAGGGAGCTGCTTGAGGAGACAGTCTGTCTTTTATTGGGGCTCAAGTCCTGATCTGTGAGCTCCATTGTTCATTCAGAGTTGCTGGGCATGTAAGTTTAGGTCTGCTGCAACAGAACTCATAAACTCCCTGTCCCCCCCACCCTCCCCAGTTGCTCTGTCCCAGGGAGTTAGGGCTTTACTTATGAGTTTCCGTTGTGCTGCTGTCTTTTTTCTTTCTTTCTTTCAGGGCTGCCCTGCCCAGATAGAAGGCCGGCTAGTCACTGTCTGCCTGCAGAGGCTTTGCTGAGCTGCTGTGGGCTCCGCCCAGCTGATGTTTGATCTTCCCTGCAGTCCTGTTTATATGGGTGTAGTTAGAACTGCCTCGGCAATGGTGGCCTCTGTTATGGCAGACTGTCTCTGTAGTGGCAGGTTGTCTCGGCAACAGCGGGTTGCCTCATCAATAGTGGGCTGCCTCAGCGATGGCAGGCTGACTCCATGGTGGTGGAGCATCTCAGTAATGGTGGATGCCCCTCCCCCACAGAGCTGGACTGTCCCAGGTTCCACTGTGCTTGCTGTGAAATGCTCAACCCAGAGCGTTTTCAATTCCTGTTTTGTTGTTGTTGTTGTTGGGGGACGGGTTGTGGGACCAACTGAGCCTGATCACCTGGATCCCTGATTCAGAGTCTTCTTTTTTTTTAGTTCAATGACCCAGCGTTTCCATCACCTGTCCAAAAGGCGCCGGGATCTCCCGTGCCATGACTCATTAAGCTGGCTGAAACAGCAGTGCTGAGGTTTCTGGTGTTTTTTTTTTGCCTAGGAATCTCCTGGCCTGGCTTGCTATTTCAGATGAATGGGTGACTCTGCCATCTCAGGGCTCCAATCACCAGCTTAGAGGGCACCCAGACCAGTGTCTTTTGTACAGAGAACCACTGCGCCAAGGCATGGGCAAAGCAGCCGGGCTGACCAAGACAGCCGTGTGGGCTGAAACAGCCACACTGGCCGAAACAGCCTCTGGCAACCCCTTTGCCTGGGAATCTCCTGGTCTGTGGGCAATAAAAATCTGTCTGGAAATGTGGCATCCACTCACCCTGTGTCCTTTCACTGGGAGCTGAAATCCTGAGCTCTTCCTAGTCGGTCATCTTCCCAGCCATTAATTTTAATTTTTAATGATAAATGTTCATTTGCATTATCTGAGCTGAGAGCAGTGTGTTGAGGTAAAAAGCTTCATTAAAAGAAGGCCATACTTCCTTGGGAAAGAGAAAACCACTAATTCTACTACATAGTAGTCTTTACACAGCCAGTTTAATTATGGAGAAAGAATTCAGTAGACTAAGAAGGAATAGTAATACCATATTATCAGATTTTCCTTTCAAAAAGAAATTTATAACAAAAAATAGTGCTACATTTGTTCAGAGAATTTGAATCCAAATTTTCTGTGAATAAAATCATGATTTTTTTTGAAGGACTATTGAGCAATTTTTATGCTATGATTCAGAACAAATTATATATTATTTGTAGCAGCATATCTGATCCAAATTTTTAGTGATAATTTTTAATTTTGGATTTTTTTCAGCTCTATTTAATGAGAAATTACTACTTGTAATTTTTGTTTTAAAAGACAATTAATTTCTGTTGACCCTGACTCTTGGGAATGTACTGTTTCATAGTTATTTTTTGTCCTTCCCTGTATACTAGAATAACATTCTTTGTTCATGGCTATTACTGTTTACACTCATGAGGAACACTCAAGTACAATCATTTGATACAAATAACTTTTTATAGTTAACAAATCAGAAGTATGGGACTGAGAAGACATCTATTCTCCTATGGAAACTGATGTATTTATAAACACATATGTTCACATATTTTTGCTGTTGTAGATTGAAAAACATGACAACTGTGTTTATGACCATCTGGAAGTTAGAGATGGAACCAGTGAAAATAGCCCATTGATAGGGCGTTTCTGTGGTCATGAGAAACCTGAAGATATAAGATCTACCTCCAATACTTTGTGGATGAAGTTTTTTTCGGATGGAACTGTGAACAAAGCAGGGTTTGCTGCTAACTTTTTTAAAGGTAATTAATTTGAAATAATTTTCAAATGTGAGATTTTCTTTATCAAGGATAAATGTGGTGTTTAGCTTTGAGTTAGGGGAGAACTCGAGAAAGTTGGATTGAAAGTTGAATATGAATAAGGATATTTTGGAGAGTTTTGATAGAAATGGTTATTAATAAAATACTAGAGTTTAGAACTGAAGCACAGTGTAGGAACTCCGTTAGGATATTCAACCATATGTTTTTTATGAAATAGTCAAAACAGCAAGTTCTAGAAAGGGTTATACAGACAGAAAGACAATATTTACAATTCAAATAACCAACCAAGAATTCATGAACAGAAGAAGGTTACTGACATGAAGTTTATCTATTTGTTTCCAGGTGTCAGCATTACTTTCTTTCAGACTAGTGTTCCCCAACATTGGAAATAATATGGCCTCCTTGCAGAATATTCTGATATCTAAAACGTCTTTTTGACAAACGATTATCTCTGATCAGCTTTGATTGTGAATTGCATAACTACATTTCAGTTTATTCTTATGTCCCATATTTGGTTTGTATCGTGAGGTGGAAAGAAAGCAAATACTTTAGCGAAAGTATTAACATCAAATGTGCATTTAGGAAATTCATAGAAACATTGTGTGTCACTGTAGAATACAATTTTTCTATGGGAAGAGAAAACAAAATTTTCCTCCATATTGAGTTTTATATGATAAATGATATAGGATAGCATAAATGATTCAATTGTATATTGCAATACTTAGAGTTATGGATATGTAAATATCGTCATGTTTTAAAGAGTAACAGTATAATGGATTTTCCCTGGGAGCTATTTTGTTCATCGTATGAATTGAAAGATAAGAAAACTTGGTACTTTTACTACAGGTATTAAAAGAATTCATTAAAATCTCCATTTATATGTTTGAGATTTTCTGTAGTTACATATTTCATAGAAAGAATATGCTATCAAGCTCCTTTAATGTGATATGCATATATTTACTCATCAAAAATGTATCGCTGATGTGTAATTTCTTCAGAGAATGTTTACTATTTGTGTAATTATGGACTATCCTGTCATATACATTTTTAAAATAGTATATATTATATATACACACTTAATGTATATTTTTGTGTTTCAATATACAATTACACAGTATATATATTAAAATATGGGGTTATATTTTCTGGAGCAAAATGTCTGTATAAGAAACACAATATTTTAGATTTAAATAGATCCAGTCAACTTCTAAGTTTTATATCTTTTAAATGTATATTTAGTACAATCTATTTCTTAATAATGGTATTTTTTAAAGAATTTTTGCAGATATATCTATCAAGCCATAATGTAAAATCAGTGTTTCCAAAGCTATGCTTCTCAGTAAGTTTATAAATTTCTTTCTGAAAAAAAGCCTAGGCTTCATTATCCTCATTTGACTTCAAATTCAGAAAAACACACACTGTATCTGAGATAAGGTGATCTTCAGTTGTCCCAGCTATAGGTATCTAGGACTTCTCTGGGTTATTTGACAATGTTTAGGTGGCAGCAACATGAATTTTTTGTACATTATCCATCAGGGGCTTATGTGTTGTTCCTGCTCCTTTGTTGATGGAAGCAATGAATTATTTCCATTTCATTTGGAACTATTAAGTATGGTAGTTTTTTAGAAATATTTATACTCATATATATATATATGTATATAGGTATACATATATGTATGTATGTTTGTATATGTATAGTTGTTCTGTGACTATGGCCATTTTCATAGAGGAAGATGAGTGTGCCAAACCTGATCATGGAGGCTGCGAGCAGCGATGTCTGAACACCCTGGGCAGTTACCAGTGCACCTGTGAGCCCGGCTATGAGCTGGGCCCTGACAGGAGGAGCTGTGAAGGTATGACTGCACTCCTGTCTGGACCCCCACCCCCCACAGTTTTTTATTTCTTTCTTATATTCTCATTCTCTCTCTGTCTTCCCCTTTCCTTCCCTTTTTCCTATAGGGACCTCTTTTCTCAATTAGTAAGATGCAATTCATAGTCCCAGCTGATGTGAAACCTTATCTGGGTTTGTGTTATAGAATCAGCCCTTTCCTACTTTGATTACCACGCCACCTTTATATATGCATAACACAAACTGTATTAGTCCATCCTCATGCTGCTAATAAAAATATATTAGCATATTTATTATGCTAATAAAGACATACCTAAGATTTGGTAATTTATATTGGAGAGAGGTTTAATAGAATCACAGTTCCACATAGCTGGAGAAGCCTCACAATCATGGAAAAGACTAAGGAAGAGGAAGGGTGCGTCCTATATGGCAGCGGGCCAGAGAGTGTGTGCAGGGGAACTCCCCTTTATAAAACCATCAGATCTCTTAAGACTTTCTCACTATCATGAGAACAGCATGGAAAAGACCTACCCAGTGATTCAGGTACCTCCTCCCTGGTCCCTCCCATGACATGTGAGATTTATGGGAGCTACAATTCAAGATGAGATTTGGGTGGAGACATAGCCAAACCATTTCATACAAAAACGCATATATAAATAAATTTATCTATATCTGTTTCTATCTAGATTCATCTATACCTAGATCTACATCTAGACCTATATTTATATCCATCCTTCCATCCATCCATCCATCCATCCATTCATCAACAGGCCATTGTGTTTGTATATATAAATATATCTATAACTATCTCTGTTTGGATCTAGATTTTTATTTATCTATCCATCCTACCATCATTCATTCATCCATCTGTCATACCAGACCTCCCTGTATGTTAATATATCTAGATATATTTCTGTCTCTATGTAGATCTAGATCTTCCATCTGTCTATCTATTCATCCTTCCATTTCTTCATCTATTCATCTGTCCATCCCCCATTTGTTTTATCTTCTTCTTAACATAGTCTATAGATATGTCTCCCTTATTAAAATGAGAAGTCTTGAGTCAGAGTCATCTTTGTATCTGTAACATCTAGCACAGTCAGACATAAAGCAGGAGATTAATATGTGTTTTATGAATAGACAATTGATTTTTAAAGACACGTTTGTCATGGCGATCTGCATTTCCTCTTTACATTCTAAGATGACGTTTTTTGTGCAACATTTTGTTAGCATTACCTATTGTCTCTTCCTTCAGATTTTAAAGATCACTCTCTTTTGTTTTCCCTGCCTCTAGCCTATTACAGCACCCATACCTCTATTACAGACAGAATGAATTGGAAGACCTTTTTCCTCGAGTCTATTCTTCCTTTATTCCTCTTTTAAAATTTCTGCAAAATTCATCTTCATAGAATGTGTAGCAGTTTACCATTATTTATATTTATGTATTTATTGGTTTACTGTTGGTATCTCCCACCAAAATGTTAGTCCTCTGAAAATGAGCACCTGTTCTCTACTGTACTTGTAATAGAGGATATAATAAGTGGCAAAAGGGAAGTAATTATTTGCTTAATGCACACACCCCTGCTGACTGTTTAGAAAAAAATCAGAGACTCCTTATTTTTTCTTAAAAGTTTTTTGGCTTCCAGAAGTCTCCATACCACCTTCTAAACTACTAATCTTCCCCCTTTACTAGAAATAAAAAGTCCTAGTGATGAAGTGGTATATCTAGCTTTTTTTTTTTTTTTTTTTTTTTTTTTTTTTTGAGACGGATTTTCACGTTACTGAGGCTGGAGTGCAATGGCGCGATCTCGGCTCATTGCAACCTCTGTCTCCTGGGTTCAAGCAATTCTCCTGCCTCAGCCTCCCGAGTAGCTGGGACTGCAGGCGTGCGCCACCATGCCCAGCTAATCTTTGTATTTTTGGTGGAGACAGGATTTCACAGGTTGGCAACGATGGTCTCGATCCCTTGACCTCATGATCCGCCTGCCTCGGCCTCCCAAAGTGCTGGGATTATAGGCGTGAGTCACCGCGACCGGCCTGAAGTGGTTTATTTTTAAAAGAGGACATTTTATATGAGACAATCGAAAACCAGTAAGACTGCTGTTTCTGTGTATTATTAGGAATAATTATAGTACTTTACCAAGAAAGTGGTAAAAGTGAATGTACAGGTATTATGTGTATATACTCATAAATATCATAGAATATATGCATATGTCTTTGTGTTTATGCTATACTCATAAATATAGCATATATGTATATGTCTATATGTCTTTGTGCACACACACACACACACATACACTTGCACAAAGACAAAATAGGGACCAGTTATTTTAGGAAACTCTTGAGTCCTTAAGAATTAATTACAAACTGTACAATGTATGTTCTTTTCACTCAACTTGCTTTTTGATACCATGATTTTGCTAATTATAATGTTGACAAGGAAGAGAGGAAATTTAAATAGAACCTTTTAAAAACAGATAATCATAGATATATTTGAAGAGAAAATCAGTATTTAAATGGGGCTTTTGAAATAACAAATATATTCTATTTACCATAATTTATCTTGTCTGCTAGCTCAGGTAATATAGAGTTACTTGTCTTGGAAAGAAGTTTGAGGAAATGAACAACTGACTTGGTTTTATTACATCAGCCTATACTGTGCTTTACACATATCTTTTCCTTAAATCTCTGAACACCCTTCTGAATTTTGACAAAAATTATTATTTTTTTCTTAATTTAGTAGTGGCCAAGACACTACAAGATATTATTAGGCCTAATTAAAGATAAGAAAACTGACACCCAGGTTTTTTTCATTTTTTTAAGTTGTTCGCCCTACTTTAAAGTGACTAAAATGTAGAAGAGCCATAATATTAATATTCTTGTCTCCTACGCTACAAAATAACACTTTTAAAACGAGACTTAATGACTACAATAGCTGTATAAAGACCAAGGTACAGAGACTATCATTTCTGGATTTTGAAACCCAGAAAATGGTTGAAATTTAGAACTGAGATGTTTGTATATTAATTAATGGACAGGTGTTAAGAAATGAGTGACATTATGGAGAGAATACATCCTTTTCTTTTCTTCTAGCTGCTTGTGGTGGACTTCTTACCAAACTTAACGGCACCATAACCACCCCAGGCTGGCCGAAGGAGTACCCTCCTAATAAAAACTGTGTGTGGCAAGTGATTGCACCAACCCAATACAGAATTTCTGTGAAGTTTGAGTTTTTTGAATTGGAAGGTAATGAGGTAAGTAAACAATAACTGTAATTTTTAAATCATGTTTTGAAACTCCCTTTAGGCGGCTGGGCATGGTGGCTCAAGCCTGTAATACCAGCACTTTGGTAGGCCGAGGCGAGCGGATCACGAGGTCAAGACCGAGATCATGGTGCAACCCCGTCTCTACTTTAAAAAAAAAAAAAAAAAAAAAAAAAAAAAAAAAAAAAAAAAATTAGCCGGACGCGCACCTGTGGTCCCAGCTAATAATCCGGAGGCTGAGGCAGGAGAATTGCTTGAACCCGGGAGGCGGAGGTTGCAGTGAGCTGAGATTGGCCACTGCACTCAAGCCTGGCGCCCGGCAACACAGCAAGACTCTGTCTCAAAAAATAAAAAAGAAACTCACTAAAGGCAAGCTGTCAAATTAAAAAGAAAAAAAAAAAAAAAAAAAAAAAAGAAAGAAAGAAAGAAAAGAAAGAAGAATGCAGTAAAATAGGATAGACGTTGTATTCTTTCTTTGTCCTACTGATCATTTCTGCAACTGCTTATGAATTTTGTTGGCATTGGATGATAGTTTAGTTTAGACTGTTTCTGGAAGATTGAAAATTACCTAGAGGGAGTTTTTATTTTGTGTAGTTAATATTTACTATTTTCTTGATTTATTAAAGAACTATGGAGTATTTAGGGTCAGCTTCATGTCACATAGACATTTCCAGAAAAAATAAACCAAAATCCTCTGGCTGAGTCATAACAAAAATGTCATTTGGAAAAATCTGGCATATTTTACTTACGGAAATGGGTACATTTTCATTGTATATGAAGCTGTCATTATAAATGTGCTCATGGTTCATAAAGAAAGATTAATTTTTTAACCTCAGCAAAAGATGTATTTAGCTAAAGCTATCTTTTTTAAAAAATATAAACTGTCCCCTTTTCTACTAAATGTACAGTTTTTGTCAGGTGACCACATTTAAACAAGTGACATCATTTATTTGAAAATTACTTTGTGCTACTGCATACACACACACATCAAATTCAAATGGAATGTCAAGCCTGAAATGGGAACTTTTAGAAAAATGTCCTTTGTGTCAACACTGGTTTAATTCCAGAGGAAAGGTTCTAAACATCAGTTTTGTTTAATCTTCTTTACTTCCTCTTCTTTTTTTAACTTCCTTTGTATCCCTTCTCTGAACAACATTTTTGATGTTTATTAAATGAACATAATTTTTATCCATCCATAAAATAAAGTTACCTCACAAAAATTATTTTGTCTTTGATGTTTATCAGTTGGACACTTTTGTCTCTGATATATATCACAGAACAGAAGCAATATTTGTGGGTTTTATGCCATAATTTTGCTTTTGTGTATTTATCTTTGCTTCTTCCTTTTTTCACTGCTTTTTGTTCTTTCCTTTTTTTTTTTTTTTTTTTTTTTTTTTTTTTTTTTTTTTTTTAGATGGAGTCTTGCTCCTTTGCCCAAGCTGGAGTGCAGTAGTGGCGTGATCCTCCATCTCCCAGGTTCAAACAATTCTCCCTGCCTCAGGCTTCCGAGTAGCTGAGATTACAGGTGCACACCACCACGCCAGGCTAATTTTTGTGGCTTCACCATATTGGCCAGGCTGGTCTTGAACTCCTGACCTCAAGTGATCTGCCCGCCTCAGCCTGCAAAAGTGCCTGGATTACAGGGGTGAGCCACCGTGTGTGACCTCTTTAATTACTTTTTTCCCTCTTAATTTAGCTTGTAGTAACCAAAGAAGTTGTAGTTTTTTACTAGTGGCTTTAAAGTGAAAAGTGATAGCTGACTAATGTGTTCCCATAAAGAAAACTAAGGTTTGAAATGTGATGAACTTACGTATTTCAAGGATTTGTAGAATCTTGGAACTCAATGGGCCTTTTGAGCTTCTTTTTAACATTATGCATAAGTTTTTAATGAGAAAGGCTGCAATTTATCCTTTTAACATACTTTATCCACATGAAATAGAATTTTCTGTTAATAACTAAAATTTGGAGAAATATTGAAATAAAGAAAATAATGTTATACTATTTTTAGTTTTTTTTTTAAGCTACAACTTTTGAAAATGGGAATGTCCCTACCAATTCTGCAATTTGATATGAACTTAGTGTTGAATGAGATCTACTCCCATAGTTTTCCCTAAAGCTATGAGTGTGTTGTGTATGACATTTTGATTCATTAATTGATAGATATTTTTAAGAAGCCTAGAGGTTTGCATTCAGGAGAAAGCAGGGTAGGTGGTTTTATATAACTGAAGTGTTGTATTCTGAAAGCATTATTCTCGTAGTTATGGTCACCATTCATAGAAGGGCTCTTACAAACTGTGTTAACATATCCCTGTTTAATTTATAATGGTGTTACTGTGTAGAAAGCTGTTACAGAATTCTCCTTATTTTTGTAGTTTGGCATCTTAGCTATTTAAAATAAAAGGCCTGAACAAAAACGTGACTTACAGAATAGTGGGTTAAGTTCCAAACTTCGTTATTTTCTTCATTATATTGATATTGCAAAGGAAAGTCAATGGCAAACCCTTTAGCCTTGGAAACATTCTTTTATATTATGTTGGAACTCACCAAACAAAATTTGCAATTGTAATAAAGTTGGTAGAAAAGTTATTTCATTTTTCCTAGCAGCATTTTGCTTATTTATCACCTAATTAATATCACAAGAACCAGTAATTTGAGTTGACATATTTCAAAGCACAGATCATGCCCCAGGGTTCAATCATATGCATTGTTAAACCTTGCTAATTACACATTTATGTAATAAGGTCATTCATGCAAGATGTGTTCTTGAATATGTGCCCTGTTGGAACTTTGGAAAAGTGTATTATGGAAACATCTGTTAGTGGCCATAAAATTGCTTAAAAATACCTGGCATTCATTTAGCTTCTTACATTTTGGTGTTGTTAGTAGATTACAAATAAATCAGAATGAGGCTCTCTTATTTTAGTGTAAACTCCTACCTCCTTTGCACTGAATAGAGTTCCTAAGTGTTTGCAGTCCTGCAGCAATCCTACAGAGTAACTTCACAGCACTCAGCAACAAAAAGAAATTAAGAAATATCAGTCCTTCAATAAGTTTAACAGACAAATAATCTTTTTATTATGCATCAAGTATCCATCTTTCTCTTTTAAAGTTACTAATGGTGCTGTTCTTATTAGAATATGGTGTTTCTGGGGAACGGTACAGGACTAAGCCAAACTCCATGTTGTTAACCACCACACTGCCATGTATGACAAGCATAATTTTGGACAAGCTATACAAAAATTTCTGAATTTCAGTTTTCCCATCTCTACAATGGGAAGGGCTATTTCTATTGCTAGTAGTTGTTTCACAGGCTAAATATACCAATTTCATGTAATTGTTGTCAGTATTAAATAAGACAGCACATGACAGTATATTCGCAGTTCCTAGTGAGAATTTAAAATACATTTTAAAAAGGATAGCAACTGTTGCTATTCTTCTATCAGCACCATATTTTTAAAATATATTAATTTTAGTTCTCTTTATCTTTTTGTGTTTTTTGAAAAAGATTTATGCTATGAATATACACAAACATGCATATATTTGTATATTTAAATAAATATATGATATAAATAAATATATAGTTCATATAAAAATATATGCATGTTTGTGTATATTCATAGCATAAGTCTGTGTTTGGAAAATGAAGTCTCCTTTTAACAACACTTGTATAAATCTTGAAGATATTCAGAGCAAAATTCTCGAATCTGTCTTCCATGCCTTCTACCTCATAGTGGAACACCTTTTCTTAAAACAAAACAAAACAAAATAAAACAAAACAAAAAACAGAATCTCACTCTATTGCCCAGGCTGGAGTGCAGTGTCATGATCACAGCTCACAGCAACCTCAACCTCCCAGGCTCAACCTCAGCTTCCCAAGTAGCTAGGACTATGGGCACATGCTACCATACGTGGCTAATTGTTATAGTTTTTGTAGAGATATGTTTTTGCCTTGTTACCCAGGCTGGTCTCGAACTCCTGAGCTCAAGTGATTTGCCTGCCTCTGCCTCTCCAAGTGCTAGGATTACAGGCATAAGCCACCGTGTCCAGCCTGTTTTTTTTCTTTACTTGTTAGTTCCGGTTAGACTACCATAAGAGTAAAATGGGAAAAACATGATACATTTTTCTAAGATAAATGTCAGTCATCTTGTACTCACAACTCTGGTAACTGGTAACAGCGTTTCTTTCTAGGTTTGCAAATATGATTATGTGGAGATCTGGAGTGGTCTTACCTCTGAGTCTAAATTGCATGGCAAATTCTGTGGTGCTGAAGTGCCTGAAGTGATCACATCCCAGTTCAACAGTATGAGAATTGAATTCAAGTCTGACAATACTGTATCCAAGAAGGGCTTCAGAGCACAATTTTTCTCAGGTATGAGTATTCACATATTTTGTGTTTATATTACAGATTTTCAATTTGGATTGGATTAAATTGTAAGTGATCTGTTTTTCATAGTTTTCTGTAAATGCAACTTGAAGATAAGAAAAAAGGCTCTACCACTTTCCATAGGTTTATTAATTTTTTACTTAAAATTAGGATATTAATAATAGGGGCCCTGATGTAATGTTGCCTCCAAACAATTAGATCTTATATAAAATCTAATCAAATATTATAAAGGCTAGTGCAAATAACAAAATAATTATAGTAACATTTTTACACATTGGCTTTACTCTATACAGGTGTATGGGAATAATGATAAAACAAATGGGCAGATTTTTCAAAATACTTTGTATTTGGAAAATGTAGTCTATTTTAGCAACACTTTTATATTCTTTTTATCTTGCAATGTATTTCTTCTTATTTTAATATATTTTCATTATTAGTAGGCTAATTATAATTGTGCTTTGCCTCATCATTATGGAAATGGTTGCAGTAAGAGACCTAGAAATATTAATTTCACTAAATATAATATATTGACAACTGTATTTAATGCTTTGAACTTTTGTATTTGGAATTTAGTATTTAGTTTAAGCAACTCAAAGCAAAATTTTCTTTATAAAGAGCTGAAATTTTATAAAACTCCCCAGACTTTATAGAAATGTATCAAAAACCAAGAAATTTTTATTTTTTCTCAATCAGAATCGTGCTTTATAAAAATATTATTTTGAAACTTTCCAAGTAGGTAAAATTGTAATAAACCTTAGTATAGCAATCTATTCTGTCTGCAACTAACAACCAATTTAAAGCAACTGAATTCCAATTATGTTTTAATATTAGGTAATTGGGATTGAGTTAATTCAAAGGCCATTTATTCTGGTCCTCATGTGTTTATAATTAATGAGATTTACAATGTCCAGCCTTTGTTTGGGGTTTTCAGTGTAATTGAAGTTAATTGTTCACAAGCTCCATTGAGTTCCAAGTCATACAGAAAAGTGTCTCCAGAATACAATGGACCTTGGCTCCTGTGTCCTTATTCCCTTCTTTTTTCCCAGATTAAATAACCTTCTACAAATGCTTCTCAGGTATTAATTTAAAATTTATGCTATTCAAAGTACAGTTTAATATTTTAATTAAAATAAGACTTTTTTTAGACTTCACTATTTTATTATTTTTTTTTTTTTTTGAGACTAAGTGTTGCTCTATCACTAGGCTGGAGTGCAGTGGCATGATCTCGGCTCACTGCAATCTCCACCTCCTGGGTTCAAGCAATTCTCCTGCCTCAACCTCCCGAGTAGCTGGGACTGCAGGCGTGCGCCACCATGCCCAGCTAATTTTTGTATTTTTAGTAGAGACTGGGTTTCACCATGTTGACCAGGATGGTCTCGATCTTTTGACCTCATGATCTGCCTGCCTCGGCCTCCCAAAGTGCTGGGATTACAGGCGTGAGAATATTATGTATTTTACCAAGTTTAAGTAATCCAGTGGTTAGGTAGAGATAAGGTTACTTATCTTAGAGCCATCTAAATGTTTATTTTAAAAATTGAAATTATGAAATAAATGAATTTTGTCATAATAATTAAAGTTACTAATGAGTACTGTGTTCACTATTTGGGTGATGGGTTCCATCGAAGCCCCAAGCCACAACATTATGCAATATACCCAAGTAACAAACTTACATGCTCACTACATTAATCTAAAATAATATTTAAAAAGAGTATTCAGGATCCTTTTTATGTTACTTTCATCATATATTTAATTTTAAATTGTTTTAAAGAAAAGAAACATGCTACAAATACTGACTACAAAGTAAGATTAAATTTAGCTACTCAGTAAATTTAAAATTCCCTTTCTGATATTTTTGGCCAAAAAAAGAATTTCCAAATCATAAAAACAGATTATTTGTGTCCTTAGAAACAGGACTGATGAAACATAAAATATGCTTCCTTAATTCTTTGTAATACACCTCTGAAGCCTTGTGCAGAAGATGCTGTTCTCCACCACATGAGCATATATGGTCTTTATCCTTTTATCTCTGTGGAATTGTGCTTTGTAAAATAACTGAGTACCTTTGTGGTACTTGAGCCAATAATAGGTAATTTGCTATAAATCATGTTCACTGATGCAGCCATTTCAGAAAATCATCCATACTTTAAGTATTTATCAGTGCACTTACGTATATATATAAATCAATTAACATGACAATATTTGGTTTTCAAAGAATCTAGCCTAGACTGTTTGCTGGAGTATAGTTAACTAAACTGAACAATGAAGTTCATGGAGAAATTAAACCCCAAAATTTCATCTTATATTGATTGTTATATTCATATATATTTATATGAGAGATGAGGCAGCTGAGGAGTTAAGTAAGTGGCTCACTGTCACAGATCATTTAAACATAGTATCTCTTGGTCCAAAGACCATTCTCTTAACCATAAGAACTGATCATGACTTTGGCAAATAGCATTAATTCTTTTTCTTATGACTTGGAAAACAACAGCAGATATAATTTTCACTTCTTTATTAGGTTATTGTTTTGAAAATCCAAGTCAATTAATATTAAGTATACATTTCTGGGGTTCATTTTGTGAATCATTGAAAAGTCTTAGCTATTTGTCAGATCAATATTTAAAATACTGCAGTTCTGGATGAGTGACTAGATTATTTCACATTTAATTTCCTGGGAGTTTCTATTAACAGGAAAGATGTTTGCTCCAGAAAAGAGAAGGTTAAAAACGTTTCTAATAAATTGCTGTTGTATTAACAAGAGATAGCAGAAAATAAGAATTTAGGTGAATAAATGTCCTTGTTATGATGATCTTATGAAGGCATAATTTACAAAAGATTATTCACTTTAATAGATGTCTGTTCACATTGCAAATATTAGAGTTCTAGTAATGCTTTCAGTGTGATAACATATAATCATATGTCAAAAGCCAGTGTAATACATTATTAGAAAGTAAGTATGTAAACTATGAAGATATACTTCACAAACAAAATTGAAGTTTTTTAAAATGTTAAAACTCACTATGGGAGCTTTGATAAAGTGTGTTACTGGGTTTATTGTCACAAATTCTTTAGAAAGAAATTTAGCATAGAAATCAAGTCATTAAAACGACTATTCCATTTGCCCCAGAAATCACATTTGTGGGACTCTTTCACCAAGAAATATCTCAAAATCTGGAAGAAGGATTTCAATATAATGTGATAGTGACAGAAATTTGGAGCTACCTCATATTGCGACAAGAGGGAAATTGTAAATAAGTTATGGCAAATGCACTTTGTGGACCCTTCTGTTGCTACAAGGATGGGTCAATGATTCCATGGTGCAAAATATTGTATGTGGTAAAATATTAATGGAAATATAGGCATAAAACAGTGTATGCACTATCTATCCAGCTAAGCATACAGTTGGAACAAAACTGAAAATTGCCATATAAAAATACCAAGAATGCTTGGTTAGGGTGGAAACATGATGCATTACGGTCTTCTCCATTTTCTTCTCAAAGTTTTTCTTTAATTTAAATATTTAAATATAAAAATAAATTTAGAAGAAACAAACTCTTATTGTATTTTCACCTTTTTTTTTTTTTTTTTTTTTTTTTTTTTTTTTTTTTTTGAGATGGAGTTTTGCTCTTGTTACCCAAGCTGGGGTGCAATGGCCGGATCTCGGCTCACCACAACCTATGCCTCCTGGGTTCAGGCAATTCTCCTGTCTCAGTCTCCTGAGTAGCTGGGATTACAGGCACGCACCACCATGCCCTGCTAATTTTTTGTATTTTTAATAGAGACGGGTTTTCACCATGTTGACCAGGATGGTCTCCATCTCTTAACCTCATGATCCACCCGTCTCGGCCTCCCAAAGTGCTGGGATTACAGGCTTGAGTCACCAAGCCCAGCCTGTATTTTCATGTATTACTGTTAGCCAAAGTATTTCTAGTTTGCAAACACCGTCTAATAGACTTTGACCTTCTTTTTTTTTTTTTTTTTTTTAATGAGACGGAGTTTCGCTCTTGTTACCCAGGCTGGAGTGCAATGGCGCCATCTCGGCTCACCGCAACCTCCGCCTCCTGGGTTCAGGCAATTCTCCTGCCTCAGCCTCCTGAGTAGCTGGGATTACAGGCACATGCCACCATGCCCAGCTAATTTTTTTTGTATTTTTAGTAGAGACGGGGTTTCACCATGTTGACCAGGATGGTCTCGATCTCTCAACCTCATGATCCACCCGCCTCGGCCTCCCAAAGTGCTGGGATTACAGGCTTGAGCCACCGCGCCCGGCTACTTTGACTTTCTTTGCAAGTGAAGGAATTTTTAAATTCATCTATTTCTTCATTAGTTAATAAATATTAATACAAGTGTATTGAACTAAATTCCCAAATATTTTAATTACAGGCAATCTAACAAAGATGTTAATATATTATATACATTAATCAAGAGATAGTTTATAGACACATAGTGTTAAATGGTTATGTTTGTAGCCAGTGTTCTAAAACTTTCAGAAGTAGTTATGGCTTTATGAAACCTTAACACGGAATATAATAAGTTCAGTTATTTTTTCCACATTCTTTGTCTAAGAACCTCTAAGAATTTTCAATACTAGTAAAAAGTAGTATTTGGTAATAAGTGATTCCATATATTTGGAAAAGAAATCTATTTAAAATAAAATTTTAGCTTTCTTTTAGTTAAGTGATACATCAAGAAAAAGAAAAATACATTTAAGGTTTAACATATCATGAAATAATATATTTACAGTATTATTGTCAACATACCATTGTCTAATAAAATAATTGTATAAGAGGTTTTAGCTATTCTTGCACATAGCCCTAGATTTTTAAAACAAACTCTTTTTAGATTTAAGAAAGAACATTGAAGGGATGTCTCTAAGAACTTTTTAGCAGAATAATTCACATCAGTGATTTCTGTCACATCCATGCTCACAAAATTAAGAAACTCTCATCTATCAATTCTGACTAAATATCATAAATGAGTCACAAAAATGCCATAGCTTAAAAATTAATGTCTTTGGATTTTATAGCAAAATAATTTATAAGCCACTCTATAAAAATCAGTGTAATATACTATACTTATTAAAGGGCATATTTAAAGAGCAATATAATGAAGTAATATTAAAGCAAATAAAAAATTAGAAAGCCAATATAAGACCATTTGGACATTATATAGAATTATGTGTGTATTCATTTCTTTTCAGGTAATTCACACTATAGTGGCATAAACATTTTCTAGATGATATCTAGTCCAACAATAATATATTGCTGTTATTTTCTCAGACTAAATGAGATTTGCTACTAAATTAACAACAGTGATTTAGTTTATATGATAGTAAAACCAAACTTAGTTTTATATGCTATATTTGAGCACAAGTGTACAAGTCTGCATTGGTATACATGATGCAGTTTACTTAATTTTAAGTGATGAAGTAAAGCTAATAGTATTCCACCCAAAAGAGTTTCTTTTCTTTAAATGAGTTAAGCATAAAGGAGATATTAATCAGACTTTATACCTGAAAAAATAGCACATTTGAGAACTTGACATGCTTTTACAATTTTAATTACAGCATTTATAATTTGGGAATATTATAACAATGACTTTAGGCAATGAGAGTTGAGCATATGCATTGCGCCTTTTATAGGCGACTCTGTTTTAATGAAAAGATTCAGTTATAACTCTTCAATTCTAAGAGCAGAAAATATGAAGAATAATAGCAGTCTCCCTCAGGGAAAAAATTATAGGAATATGATCTAACTATTGCCGATGAGCCCAGGGTCTTGCTCAGTGACAGAAATGGACTAAAACTTGTTTTCTGACTCCCAGCTCATTTCTGCCTTTAACAAATGGAGGAGTCACTTGAAATAATTTGTGTATTGCAGTCTTTCTAGCTATGAAATCAAGTGATTTCAACTGACATGCTCCTCATCTTATTTTCCTTTTATTGTGTCTCAATATTTGTTTGTAAGTGTTCTTCTTGTCCACCGTTGCTCTCATGGAATGGTTTTTGGTATCTGTAGATGAAATTTGACATGATATTACTCTAACAAAACTTTAAATGCTACTGTGATTAATTACAAACAGTAATACAAATACAACTTTCTCGTATGATTTAGACTCCTATGTCGAAGTTTTCATCATAAATGGAATTTAAATATTTGCATGTTTGTGAAAAGAGAAAAGTGTCTCAGTTGTAGCTCTCCTAGTGTTTATGAGTGTTTTTTTGTTTGTTTGTTTGTTTGTTTTTGTAGGTGATTATTTACTTGATAGTTTTATGTTGGACCTGTGTGTGCTGTGCATGTGTCTATTTATTTCAGATCCTGAACATTTAATTTGAGAATACCTGCTCTTGTATGTTTCTGTTCTGTTGCATGGACCATTGGTTTCTTTTTCCTACAGATAAGGAAGCTTTCTGCAAAGAGAAACTTTTTATTTTTGAATCTTGCAAGAACTTGATACAGGTTGCAACTTCAGTTCCATCCAGTATGTATTATTCATAGACTGATGACCTCTGATAGTCTCAGAGGTTCACTGCAGGCCTCTAATGGAAGAATACCCCTTCACTTTTTCCTAATGATGGGCCTTTCTTTATCTTACATGAAGGAATGGAAAGCAGATATGTCCATTCCAAAGAAGGGGGCTAATTTCCATCTGCAGAAAATAAATGCTTTTATTTTTCCTCAATAAAACATTTATTTCTAGCACTAAGAAAAACTCTTTTGCTTTATTTTGTGTCTAGTGTTTGAAAATGCCAGAAAATTTCGGATAAATTATTGATAGAATTTTAAATTATTAAATATGTTTTGCAGGCATTATGAAAAATGTTTAAGTCTCTCTCTCCTCCTTCCTTTTCTCTTTCCTTGGATTTCTGCTCTTCAAAACAGAGCTTTTGTCCTAAGAGGAGAAATGGAAAGTGAAAACAGAAGTTAATTATGTTTGCAAATAGCTTTTTCCCCAAGTTCCATGACCTTTCATAAATAAGAAATGTACAGTATATTTGCAGAATTTATCTTTTATGAGTTATTATTTCTCATCAACATAAGAAATCCAAAATTACATTCCCTTTAATTAGAATAGTCTATTAACTCCTGTTCAAACAAGTGGTTTTAAAACACCACACTGTATTTACTACTCTGCAGATGAATTAAAATATTTTTCAAAATATAGTGCAAAATATCAAAATTTTTAAATCTTCATGATGTAAAACATCTGAATAATCTTAAGTATTCAAATGATTTCCTGAAATTTTCTCTTTTCATATGACTATTTGACACATGAAACCACAGTTTTACATGCTACTTTTCAGCATATAATAACTTTCCTCTGCTGCTTTTAGATGCTATTTTGATTAGTTCAGTTTTGAATTTTAGTTAATTTAGACTAACTCATAAATATATTTTAGTGACCTGATAAGTTTTCATTTTCACACGACCTTGATTAAGTTGTGCAATATCAGATGTGCAAATGAGGCAGGAAACTCTGAAAAACTGGGAAAGTAAAAAAACCCAGATACTTAGAGAATAATGACTATGTAAATAACAATAAAATCTCTTTTTCTGTTTGTTCTCCTTCTTTTTCTTTCTCTTCTTTCTTTTCTTCTTCCTCTTCCTACTCCTCATCTACTTTCTCTTCTTCCCAAAATTATTTTGAAATTATTATTATTTTTTTTGAGCACAAAATAAGTATTAATTTTTGGCTACAAAATCATTGAAATATAATTGATTTTATTTTTAATTTGATCTCTCCTTAGTTACTATTATTATAGGTCTGTTTATTTTTAACAAATCTTGAAACTAATGATACTTAGATACATGAGCAACTGGCTTGACCCTTCCACTAGAATGAAGTTTGGATATTAGGGATATTTTATGTTTTGAAATTATTTTTCTTATAAAATGACCATGACTTTTAACACTCACAGCAATAATTCATGTGTTATTAAATTGTGTTCACATTTGTATTTTAGCATTTTTGTATCTTTCATGTATGGCAGTCCGAACAGATACCAATAAAAGGGCGATTCAGGCCATGTCTGCCTCCACACTGTTCATCTTTGAGCAGTTCATCTGTTTATCAATCAATTGAAAATGTGAACTGATTTTAAACTATTCTCAAAGGTTTGGTTGACCAAGGGTACAACTAAAGTTCACTCTATCAGGTCTTATATTAAGTAGGCCAAACCATTGTTATATAAACATTTTCACAGGAAATGTGTGTCTATTTCAGAATAATTCTGGCACCAGCATTTTCTTAATTGGTTCCTTCCATTTAACAGAGATATATTCATTCACTCATAAGGAAGCATTTTTCTGAAGCTTTGTAAGGTAAAGAGCATCTGGAAAGTCAGAATAAAAAAATGAATTTAAGCAATTTACTGTTTAACTATCGGAATCAGAAAATGCAGGCAGCTGACACCATGATGGTAGGAAGTATGGTTTACTGTCTACCCATTCTGTATAAGTCATTCATAATTCATAAACTGTGATTCTCACTGTTGATGCAATTAATGGAATAAGAGTTCAAAATTACACTAAATTTCTCTAAAATTAATTTTACAAATCTAATTTTCTGGGTTTTTTTTGCATTTCAGTATTTGATGCTCTTTCACAGAATAATTTTGTTTATTCTACTTTTGTTTTGCTTTTTGCTTAGTCACCATAGTAAGTTTTGAAAGAATAATGGAAGTGTCAAGAATAGGTGGACAACACATAAATCACAAATATACTAATTATGTCATATTCTTTAAAAACTGAGATTGCCTGTGTTTATTTAAAATATTCAAGTATGGCCAATGCATTAATATCACCTGTAAGCATGTGTGCCATGTAATCAATCTTCAAATGTGACACAATAGTTGCATATTTAAAAATTACTATCAGATTATTTGATAAAAATATCTTCCCTAATCCTTTTCCCATGGAATGAATATTGATTTGATAAAAAAGCAAAAACAGTATACTTTTTATGCCACGAAGAACTTGCTAGTGCTCATTAGAAAAATCAGCAGAGAGTGTACAATTTGAATTCAGCCTAACTTCTCATATGACTATAACATGTCCTTTTTGTTCTCTATGTGTGGGAGTGATGAAACTCTGAAAGATGTGCCCTCATGCATCTGTGTGAGGAGCAATCTGCCAGTTTTGACATTAATGGACAAGCCAGCTATGGAATGACGGCTGAGTGACATGGAGTGATGGTTGATGCCTCACCAAATTGACTGCCTGTTAATCTAGTTTGGCTTTTTTCCCTGTAGTGATTTTTTTTTGCTATTTCATGAGGCTCATATTTCCTAGTCTAATCTTTGCTTTACTTTTAGCACACTAAAAGCCCTTTTAGGAGATAACTTTTAATAAACTTCTCTGCCAGAGTAGATTTGTTTAAAATACATAAATTTCATTTTTTCTTGAGAATAGTCTAATTATGCCTTTTTCTATCTTGGAGTGCTATGAAGTGTCCAGATTCATTAATGCTAAGCATAACTGCAGAATTAATGGGGAAAAAAATCAACTACAGTAATTATACTGAGTGATTTTTTAAAGTGATTACATACAAATCTTGGAAACTTGTTTAGCCTCTGTCTTGGAACAGAAGAAACCATGACCCTTTGGCAATGTTAACCTTAGCTAAATGACTCTCTTTGATATTCTTTGTTTTAAAGTTCCTTAGTAAACTATGGAATTTATCTCTTTGCTAGACAAAGATGAATGCTCTAAGGATAATGGTGGATGTCAGCACGAATGTGTCAACACGATGGGAAGTTACATGTGTCAATGCCGTAGTGGATTTGTGCTGCATGAAAATAAACATGATTGCAAGGAAGGTACGGAAAGGAATGTATTTTTCTTGACAACACGTAGAATTTCATGTGGTTTTGTTAAGGCACTGCTCCAAGTAGAGTTAATAATTTCAATGCGTGTTATCACAGTGGGCTATCTAAATGTCAAAAAACAAAACTCTGTGTAATGTTCAAAGATCCAAGGCAAATTACTGGATCTGGACTTTGCACATAGGTGGCATTAGAGTAGCTTTGAATAACAGACATAGTAGCTGCTAGGATATCATCTGGTAGCCAGAAAAGCACCACATTCTCCCCAGATCTTTGTGGAACAGATCTTATAACACAATGCATATTTAAACTGAACTGCTGCTAAATGTTTTGCATTTGGTGTAATATTCCTCCCCAAAATATCTTGTATATTTCATATATGTGCTACGTAAGTGATGCACCTTTAAATACCAGGAGTATCAAATTCAAATGCCTATCACAAGAAAGACATTTGAAAATGGTAGACACTGTGTCATTTAAAGTTGTAAGTCATGGTTTTGGTCCAGAAAAGATTAGTAGCATATTAATACCCTATCAGACTTTGTCCTCGAGGCCTTACAAAATTCAAAATGTTTATAAACCAATAATATTAATCCCCTTAGCCACTATGAGCTAAATAGGAACAATAAATAGTTATTCAGCTCTTATTTCTTCCTTTGAGAGTCTGTTCCTGAATTTTCTACCTAAATTGGATTTATGCTTGTTTTGAGAAGAGAATTACTAAGACAAATTTTATAAACTTAGTCGTCATATGTACACTGGAAGGTACCTGACTCTAACCACAGTTAGATAACATTTTTGTGTGTGTGAAAACACTGGAATCATAGAGAATATCCTCAGTTGACCCTTGTTCCATTCAGCTCCTTTCAAATATGGTCACATGTCAGGGGTTGTTTTTTTTTTTCATTGAGTTAATGACACTGTGCAGAAACCTATACAAACAGAAATTTTTCTTTCTCTACTTTCATGTAAAAGCATAATATCTGTAACTTGGTAAGATACGATATGCTATTAAATCAATAGGTTAGGAAATAGGCCCAGGTTTTTGCATTTTTTTGTTTGTTTGTTTTTATTTTTTTCATTTTGAAACAGGGTCTCCCTCTGTCACCCAGGCTGGAGTGCAGTGGGGTGATCTCAGCTCATGGTAGTCTCGACCTCCAAGGCTTAAGCAATTCTTCCACCTTGGCCTCCCGAGTATCTGGGACTACAGGTACACACCACCACGCCTGGCTAAATTTTTGTATTTTTTGTAGAGATAGGTTTTCTCCGTGTTGCCCAGGCTGGTCTCTTAACTCCTGAGCTCAAGCAATCCACCCACCTCAGCCTCCCAAAGTGCTGGGATTGCAGGCATAAGCCACTGCAGTTGGCCCAGGTTTTTGTTTATTGTTTTGTAGACATTGAAGGTAATTCAGAGAAAAAAAAAAGACAGCTTTTATAGATTATACATGTATCCTGTGGATCACGCATAGCAAATATGTCTCTGTTCATTACATAAATGATATAGGAAACTTCATTATAGATAAAACAGCATCCAGACACACCACAATAAACTTGTCTTATTGCCAGGAAAGTGGTCAGATCATCTTTTACCTTCACTATAGTACATGCTCCTTGTACAGTTTAGCAACGAGCCTCTCAACCTAGTCTCAGTGTAATTGCCACATCCTGCCCGATTTACATTTCACACGGCAAGGCAGAGACAGAAACAATGGAATTTAGAAAACCCTTGTCATGACTTGATTCAAACTTTTAAGGCTGTTGTTTTGCTGCCGTAATTGTAGATTATTAGGAACTGAATTTTACCTTCCACTTTATTGTGATCTTCTGTTGCAAATACAAGTCTCCCTATAGAAACCTAGCAAAATTAAGATGAAGGTCTAGTATGAATGAACGCAGCAAAGCAGGCAGCAGCAACTACAGCAAGCACATTAACTAATGGGCATGTTACCCTTGCTGTGTGGACAGCACCTATAACAGGTGGTTGTCCATTGAGTAAGGTATTTAACCAAATATATTGCTCAGGAAATTTTAGAAATTTGTATTTTAGAATGGAATACACAGTACATAACAAATAATCCCAGTCTAAACAAGAATGTATAATATAGAGCTTCATAAATTATACAGAAAGAACACAGCTTGAGGATATTAAATAATTTTTAAATTTGACATTAACCATGTGGAATGATCTTGCCTAAAATGAGGTTATTTTGGTTGTTAAAAAAAAAAAACTCTTAAATAATTATACTGATTGAATGAGGTATCCTTTGAAGTTAGTTCAGAAGCACCTCTAGGGCAGAGCTAGTAGCTGTTCACTTATTTTTCCCCTTAGTGCTTCCATTTGCTTTGATGAAATTAGGACTAATTTATTTTAGAAGCTAAAATTGTGGTGTAGGTATTCAAGTGTATATTTAACTAAGGGAGAGAGAAAATGTAAATACATGATTCATAAGGTGCCTTAATGATGTTAATTAGCTGTAAATGATGTTTCTTTTAATAGAAAAAATAAATGAAAATGGCATAGTCCAATGATGTTTGTTTGTGACATTGGATTAAATGTTTTGCACATGCCCAGTGTTGATATTCTCTACTGTCAATATATGTTGCACTGTTAAATTCTGAGCTACAGACCCATCAGTTTAAAGTGAAATTTCATTTTCTTTTAGGCATTTATCTGATTTATGATAAATGCTTAATTTCATATGAGGCAAACAACAAACATTGCCTGATTATGCTCAGCAACGTAGTTTCCAGAGTAGATGAATATGATAATCAACACTGGAGTGATAATTAGCTGGTATTCAGGAAAGTCAACATGGCAGTGGGCAAATAGGCTGCTTTCTGCCTCAAACCTGGGCTGCATTTCCACACTGTCACACTGTCTGATATTATGGTTATTGGTGCAGCTGAGTGTGAACAGAAGATTCACAGTCCAACTGGCCTCATCACCAGTCCCAACTGGCCAGACAAGTACCCAAGCAGAAAAGAATGCACGTGGGAAATCAGCGCCACTCCTGGCCACCGAATCAAATTAGTAAGTGAGCACATCCTTTTTCTTTCCATTAAGCTGACTGCCCTTGTCTTTCACTACAAGCACTTGGAAATAAAATAAAGGCTTATCTAATTGAATTGAATCATTAGGCAGCTGGAAAAGATTTTTTGTCTCATTCTTTTCTACTTGCACTAAAATCCTTGGCTTCGTACATCAGGTTGATTGCCATATTGTTCGCCTATACAGTTTCTTATTCTGTATGTTTTAAAAGGCCTTACCAAAGATGCTGCAAAACAGGTCTTTACTTCTTAATATATTACTGGTAATTACATTTCCAAACTTGGAAAGTAAATGAAGGAATGAAAAAATCAGAAATTTGCAAGAAAGCAATAGAATAATAATTCACTTAAACCCAGCATAGCATATTCTACTGGTTGCACAAATTCCATATACATATGTGTTTTTCATACTAATATCAATTTTATCTTGTGGTTTATAGAATATTATTTTTGCATAATATATTGCCCTCTACACAAAGATACTGATATCCTTAGATTTCACTCACATTTTATTCAGCATGAGTTATTCAAATATGAGTATAATGTTTGTCTTATCTCTCCTGTATTCTTTGAATTTTGCATTCTGGCCTGCTCATAAATAATAGACAGATAGCAAGTGTTAAATTTCATCATAGGCTACAGAGTGCTTGAAGAGTGTAATCTAAAGAAATTAAATATTTAATTAATGTAGAAATGTTAACATATTCCTGCAATATGTTGTTTTGAGAAGCAGAAAGCAGTGCCAGCAAACAAAGGTCAGGAAAGAGTCTAGCATGCACTTAAATAACAAAAATTATCTGAGGAGTGAGGCTGTCAGTCCAAAGTAGCTCACTAGATCAGTACAATCATAAGTTTAATTTTTAAATTTCTTGTTTTGCCTCTTTCCTTCAGTGAATATTATTGGCCAATAAAAAGACCTTATTTATATACAGCTTTATAATAAAATCAGAGACAGTCACCAAGAAATTCATATTCCTAGTATGGAGATCCTTCCAATCTCTATAGCTGTAAATGACTGCCCAGACAGAGACATCAGTTCATTTCAGCCACACTGTTGAAGTGTATTAAATGCTGAAATGACAGCACTATAGGAATTCAGTTGCTCTCTAGTCCTGTCCAAGGTCCTGATTGAGAAGATAATTTCCTGGACCCTATGGTAACTCCCTGAATCTTATGGGCTGAAATATAGAGGCTGCATTGTTTTTCAGGAGAGCACTTTCCTAAAGGAGTTGGAAAAACTGATTTGACTGAAGACATTTATTTATTTCAATCTAAATTTTGTTGGGTATTACATTCTTTCTCTCTGAATAACTTATTTTTATATTTCGTATAAAGTATGTGACAGTTTTCTTTCTCCATCTTGAATGCTTGACTCCATTTTTTTCTGAAACATAGTTTTTCATCCTTCTTTTGTAAATCTTATTTTTATTTGTTTGTAAGTCATTCTTTTTTCTATGGCTGCCATTAAAATGTTTTTTTAAATCAGCAATTTGAATATAATATATGCAGATGTATGTGTTTATGTGTGTGTGTTTCTGTTTAGAGATTTTTTTGGTATTTATCGTCCTCAGAATTCTCTGAATTTAGTGCATCTGTATTATGGGATCTGTCATTAATTTTTGAAAATTCTCAATTGTTATTTCTTCATATAATTATTCTGTGCCATTGTCTTTCTTCTGATATTCAAATTGTTTATGGGCTAGATTGTTTGCTGTTATCCCTCAACTCTTAGATGTTCAGTTCATTTTCTGCCCTTCTTTTTGAGTTTAAGTTTCAGTAATTTCTATTAACCTATCTTCAAATTCAGTAATTATTTCTGCAGCTGTCTTGAATCTACTAATGAACTTGTTGAAAGCATTCTTTGTCTCTATTATCATGTTCTTTATTTCTAGAATTTGCATTTCACTTATTGTAGTTTCCATATGTAATAGTCTGTTTGGGCTGCCATAACGGATTACCACAGACTGATGGCTTAAACAACAGTAATTTATTTTCTTATAGTTTGCAGGCTAGAAGTCCAAGATTAAGGTGCCATGAGGCTTAGTGTCTGGTGAGGCCTCTCTTCCTGGCTTCTATATGGCCTCCTCCTCACTGTGTCCTCACATGGCATCTTCTCTGTGTATACACAGAGACAGAGCTCCAGTGTCTCTTACTCTTCTTATAAGAACACCAGCCCTATAGGATTAGGGCTGAATTCTTATGGTTTTATTTAACCTTAATTACCTCCCTAAATATAGCAGATTAGAGGTTAGGGCTTCAACGTTAATTTTTGAAAAACACAATTCAATCCATAACACCATTCTCTGCTGAAATCTCCCATCTGTTCTTGCATATTCTCTACATCTTCATTAGAATCTTTAACTTATCAATGTTAAATTTATACTCCCTTTAAATTCTGTTTGATATAAACATAGGGTCCCCATGCTTGAGTCTGTTCTGTTGACTGTTTTGTCTCGTAGCTGCATTGTTTTTATTTTTCTTGACTTTTTGTGTGTCATGTAATTTTTAAAATTAAAATCAGACATTATGTGTAAAATAGTAGAGACCTTATGTCTGGAAACAGATGCATCTCTTGTGTTAGGCTATTAGCATATGAGGAAGGGTGTTAGGTTGATCTAACCAGGAATTAAGCTGAGATTGGGTTTTCTTGTTCTATTATCTTCAGTGCACCACTGGCTTCAAATTCTTTTTTCTTAGGATGAAGGCTGGGATTTAACAGGTGTTTCCTTAATGCTTCTATTTCACCCTTACCTTCTCTGTTCATCCCCACCACAAATATTGTTCCTCTCCACACTTTTTTGTCTTCTTCATCAGTGGTAGATGGCAATTGCTTGTTACTTGGTGCTTGCTAGTCTGGTGGTGAAGGCAAGGAGTTCCTTATTATTTCAGTATAGCCTCCACCTTAGGCAGGCCCTGCATGTTCAGGTCTTGTGGTTGAGCTTTCTCAGGGGTCCTATTTCTTCTCTTCATGGCAGTGAAACTCTATCTATATACCTTATGAGTGTTCCATGGGAGAGAGTTTCTTTTCAGTCTCTCAGTAGTAGGAGATCTTTAATATTACTGGTATAAGATCCTGCATCCAGGACTTCCCCTAGGGGTAGTAGGTTTTGTTTTTGTTTTTATTTTGTTTTTTTTCTGTTTTGTTTTGACCTTTCCTCTGCCTCCAGTAGGTCTGTAACTTTGTTGTAGAGGTGGCAGGATATTCTGCTTCTCCCTCGGGGGCTTAAGGCTTTGTTTTCTGAAGAAGGATTACAGTAAGGCTTCAGACTTTTCTCACGGAAGTGACCACTTCCCTCTTGCAAGCTTGAAACACCAAGGAAGGCACTCATGCGCCTCCTGGTATTTCCACAAATTTTCTCATGAGCAGGAGATGGGGGTCCATGGAAAAGAATCTGCGAGTGTGAACAAGCTCCCTTCGTGTCTGCAGTTTCCACGAGTTCTATCCTCTCCCCCTCATCCACAGATGACCTTTACCAATCCATCACCAATTTTATCAGAATGCTTTCTTTTCACCTGGCTGTATAATACCAACATCTCTTCCTGTTGTAGTCTGCCAATAGCACATCTTTTCTTGGAAAGGCCTGACATTCAGTAGATTTTAGACTACTTGGTTCATTTGTGATTTCCATACTTCGGTGTGTTCAGCCAATGTTATGATTTTTTTTTTTTACACTTTACATCATGGCCTTTTCTTGTTGTGAGGGTAGAAGCAAAACTAGTTACAGCTTTCTATATCCAAGGGGAAGTAGAACTCCTGATATGCCCCAGTTTTAAAAATAGCAGTACTCAATCCATTCTCAATTATATATCTTTCAGCTTGAAACATCCCATCTAACTCTAGGGCAATCTGTTCCTTCACAAATTACAGGATTTATTTATTTATTTATTTGCCAATATTCGACTTGAGAATGAGGATATAAAGTATGTCTGTTCAACAATGGTCGTACCTGCTGGTTTCTTAAGCAGGTAATATTCAGAAGCAAAGTGAGAGCCTTAATGCAAGCATTAAACTTTATTTTAGGAAACGGAATTTGTGTTTTTTGTGTGTGTGTGTGTGGGAGTAGTTACAATGTAAGCCAGGTTTTCTCAAATGCTAGCATGCATCAGAATTACCTGAAAGACTTGTGAAAACACACATCTCTGCCACACCAGAATTTCTGATTCAGAGCATAATATTGATTCCCACCATCCTATCCCATGGATCGTGTTCATATAAAACCTGATTCTCAATATCATCTTAAGAGTCAGGGTTAGTAGAAAATGTGTCACAAAAGATTAGCCACCAACTCCAAGTAACATTTTGATTCTATATTTTTTGACTCTTGCCATTTTGACATTATAGTTACTTGTGTTTCCCCTGATTGACTTTCTGCACATAATGTAACTATTACCTACTGTTATCTACTTTAAAACTAAAATCACTGTTATTATGGATATCAGCCAATAGATATTTGGTGAACAATACTTTATACTACCAGTTCAAATCATTCAATCACCTACCCATATACTTTGACATTTAGAACACAGGAAATTTCATCACGATGTTGCAGTGTGTAAAATAAAAGCATTTTGCCTGATTTCTTTAGGATCTTTGATTGCTGTTGGTTTTTGTTGTTGTTGTTGTTGATGTTACTGTTTTTTGGAGATGGAGTCTTGCTCTGTCACCCAGACTGGAGTGCAGTGGTGCAATCTCAGCTCACTGCAACCTCCAACTTAGAGGTTCAAGCAATTCTCCTGCCTCAGCCTTCTGAGTAGCTGGGATTATAGGCATGTGCCACTGTGCCTGGCTAATATTTGTATTTTAGTATAGACAAGGTGCTGGGATTATAGATATGAGCCACCATGCCCCAACTGAACTTTAATTTTTTCTTTTTCTTTTTTAAATTGTACTTTAGGTTCTGGGGTACATGTGCAGATTGTGCAGGATTGCTGCATAAGTACATACATGGCAATGTGGTTTGCTGCCTCCATACCTTCGTCATC